CTAGAATCTCGCTTTTTCCTTTAGTAGATATAAAAGTTTCAGTTTCTGTTGAGAAAGTATTATTCATTTAGTTGAATAATTTTGAAGAACGTTCTCTATCCATAAATATTATGAACAAACCTCCAATAGTTAACTTTTTTTGTGTTCCACTATTAAAACTTTCGATAATATTAGAACTACAGATTACTAAATTAAAATTGATTATGGATATCATTTTTATCCGTAGTCGTCGTGCTTATCTATCTTTTTTCTATCATCATTACAAATAAGCCATAGTATAAACATATTTTCTACAACTAATGAGGCCTTCTTATGTGTTTAAGTTAAGAGTTAATGAACATCCATATTAGAATTTATTTGTTGTGTTGCACTCTATAGTTGTAGATTTTATAAAGTGAACGTTCGATTGATCATTTAATTTGGAGTGAATCGAAAATGAATTTCTGTTTGAATTACAAAGAAGACTAATCTTCTAATTGGATATAGAAATAAACAGCCATTTTTATTATATCTTCGTGAGATGGTTAGGTTAATGAACAAAGATGAGAACAGTGATAGACTAACTATATGAATTGTAGTTTTTGGATAACTGACTAATAACCGATTAGCAATCCAATCAGATCCGTTGAGAACTTATGTCAGTTTGTATGTAATTGTTTTTACTTTTTGAATTCATTCGATACCGTTTGTAAAGAGATAGTTTAATAATCTACAAAATTTTTATAATTCTCTTGTTACTTAAATGATCAAAAATATTTGAAAGAATTTTCAATTCTACTTTTTTAAATATTATTATTAATGCTAAGATTTACCTTGTGATATTAGTTTATAAATAATAGAACTTTTCATTATTTAAAATAATGTTAATCATTAATCTGTTCTAATTTTTAGTCAATCCATGGATATGTTCAAATATGACTGTTTTGCCAGGAAAGAATTCGGCTGGTAATGATCTAATTTGTAAGCAAGCGAGGACTTTTGCAGAATGTTGTACTTTCTGTTTGTTGACGTCTGGGTGTCTTGGATTTACATGGGGCTGGCCAAATCATACACAGTCCCATTATCGATCTAGTTGTTTTTTAAAAAATGTATATGCTAATCCAAGTAATTCCGCACAATTTACTTATGCTTACTTTTAACTATAATATCTATTGTTATTAGATGTTCTTCTCTTATATAAAACATTATAAATTAATAAAACTTTTTACAAATAGTTTAACAATATAAAGAATTTCTATAAACAATTATCTCTATCTTGAGGGTGTAGGTGTGTGGATGACGCTAAATACTTTTTTGGCTGCACCCATACTCACATTCACACTCGAGATGGTTTTCGATGATGTTTTCTTTTCACTACCTAAAATTCATTGATAGAAGAGCAGTCATCCTATTCCGGAAAGTTACACATTCCGGAATCGCTTGGAGCACCTAACTTAACATAATTCAATTCCGGAATTCCTTGCATTCGATTCCTGCCAATTCCGGAATTCCATGCATTCGATTCCTACCTATTCCGGAATTCCTGCACATTCCTACCGATTCCGCAAAAGCCGGAATGTGCACGAATTCCGGAATTCCGCTACGGAATCGATTCGATTATTCAGGAGGATCATTTCTACATCAAGCATATCTTTCGTAATTCCGGAGTTGGCAGGAATAGCATTAGTCTGATGGAAGGAATTCCGGAATTGGTAGGAATCGTATGCAAGGAATTCCGGAATTGAATGATGTTAAATTGGGTGGGTGCAGCGATTCCGGAATGTGTAACTTTTGGGAATAGGAAGCATTCTCTGATAGAAACATAAATATAGCAGATTGATCGAATCGATAATTTAGTCTTCTTTTCATTTTATTATCACGCATAACAATTTATTTTGTTTGTAATTATATTCTTAATTTTGATAAATTATAAATCTAAATAATTTGAGTCAGTTGTAGAGCTGTTTCTACTATACTTTTAGACTCACTTATGCATATCAAGGATTTTTATATAAAAAAATCTGGAAGAAAAGAAATGGTTCATCAAGTCTATAGTATCCTTTTTCTTTTTTCTTTTGTAGAACGTTGTAATGAATATCACCAGATCGTTTCACAGTTACTGTTAAAATTTATTTTTCATCACTTCGAAGAATTAATTAAGTTTATTGATTTTATATTGTATGTAGATATACGAAGAAATCTCCAGTATTTATGTATTCTTGTTATCCTATATCAGATTCAATGTTCAATATACTGAAAGTAATAAGAAACTATTTTTTTAATTATTGTTGTGTTTGTAAGAAATACTTACTTATTTATTTCTTTAATATTTTTGTAACATATGATTTTGAAAACATCATACGTCACAGCGCTTATCATGACTTTAACAAAATTATTTAGATAGGATATCTCCCACTGGAAAGATCAGAACACTGATGCATGATATATAATTAAAAGTGTTATTTAATATGTTGTTAAATAACAAAGAAACGGCAAAAGAGAGAAAAACTGGTTATTGACTAGCATTTGTGTTTTCTTTATATTCGAACACATCACAATAATTTACTATTCATTCTGAAATCCGATTGAGACAATGGTAGATATTAACAAACGAGCGTTTTGCCATTTTACACTTAAAGATATTTTAAGTATTATATCTTCAGTTGCTATACCCATAGCTCTGGCTATTTATACTGCAATTGGGTCTCAACAACAAAAACAACAAGCTGAGAAAAAACAAAAGTTTGATTTTGAACAATCAAGAGAATTAAGACAACAAACACTTTATGATGAGTTTTTAAATAATATCTATAAACTGGATAAAGATGGTTATCTGAACGACACAAAAACTCCATGGGCATTTGCAAATGCATATTATCGTGCTGCTCATCGTCAGTGGGATACAATAAGCAAAGCAGATGTTTTACAATTTCTGAAAGAAAAACAACTAATTGGTAGAAATAATTGTACTAATGGATGTAGAACAACAAATTTAGATGATATAATTCGGTTGAATGAGTTAAACTTTGATAAAGTACATCTAACAAGTGAAACTGGTGTATTAAATAAGTTGAATTTACAATGTGTTTCTTTTGATCAAGTATCAATGTCAAATAGTGAGTTTTCATCTGTTAGTTTAAATGGTGTGTCATTTGATGGAGGACGATTAAATAACGTGAAATTTGATGGTTCATCTTTAGTTTGTGTTAGTTTTAATGGTGTAAATCTGTCGGGTGCAGATTTTGGAAACTCAGATCTGACAGGTGCACATTTTTCAAACAGTGATTTGTCAGGAGCTAAAATAACGGAGGATCAATTAAACCAGGCATCTTTTGAAAATGTAATTATGCCAAACGGAAAGAAGAGTGAAATTATATCCTCAACGACAACAAAAAAACCTGTAACACAAATAACAACAATAATAAAAACAAAAATGTCGACAACAACGTCACCATCACCATCATCACCATCATCATTATCAACATCATCAACAACAACAACAACATTATCACCATCAACAAGATCATTATTAACCACCATCAGTCAGTATTATGCTAGATGATTTATAGTGATTTTATAGTTTTCTAATAGATGATTAGTTCGGATAGCTAACTTTAAAATTTTAGTTTGTAACCGTCGAATGTTGTCTCCCCTTAATCCACCTACATCAATAGCTTTAGGGAACACTCCGTAACCATACATATTTTGGATAAAGCTCTGGCTGTGCCTCTCTATAAGCATCGCTTCGTTGACCTCTGCTCTTTTACAGTTTCTTATTAAAAATTTTAACAACTTAAAAAAATCTAACATGAATAAGGTGAAATTAGAGATAGCTACCGCGTATTATTCATAATTACCTTTTTTCCTCGTTCTGTGCTACTTACTCACGTTTCAGCTAATCTACAGCATAAACAGAATTATCCGTAACTGACGAATTTTTCTCTTCTCTTTAATTTTCATTTTTAATCAAAGTTCACCTAAAAACTAGTTTGCTCTGTTGGTTAGTTCTTTTCTATATTTTGTGAACTGAGCACCATTATGATTGGTTTAGCAGAAATAAACAATGAACGGAATGCTGTATCTACTTTGAAATAGATCACTCTTTTTGATGATTTTATAGAGCTAGATTTGAATAATAATAAATCAGGTAGATGATTTGCTATCTATGGACAACTGACTGATAATCGAATAGACGCTAAATCGAATCTATTAGAAATCATATTCAGCTTGAATTTGATTGTTTTTACGATGAAAACAATTTATTTTGTGATAGTCTGTGGTTCAGGTCAAATAATATCACTTAGAATTATAAGTATAAAGTTATGATTATATAAGAATATATGAATAAAATGACAGGATTATAAGTAGCCAATTAAGTCTCGAGTTATAAATGTGAAAAAATCGGTACTAAATGGTTCGTATAAAACCCTTATTATTGTAGTTCGTAAGGGGTTTAATACAGTACTATCTTTATATAGTGCTAAAAAAGATTCTTTCCGTATGATTGCGATAAAAATTTTGTTAGATTTCAGCGCTATGACTACAACGATCAAATGTCTGTGTTATGTTTCTCCTTATTCAGTCATTTCTTTATATTTTTATAGTCACCTGTGAAACAATAACGTATTCTCAGTATTTTACAAATGATACAGCTTCATCAACTCAATGCTCAGTATGGTCAGCATTTTTAGCTAATTTGACTTGTTCAAACTACTCTAGCATGCGCATAAACAGCACATCTGATCCAGTTGGTATAACTGTAATCGATCCGATTGTAGCTAATCCTATTAGGTCAGCTTTACGTACTAATGGTACATATACGGGTGCTTCAAATGGCTATACATGGACAGTTAATAGGTGTAGCGGTGTTCAGGAACTCAGGACATCAGGAAGTGCATGTTCATGTAATAACACTTACGGTATAAGACCATGTAATAATAAAGCTAATTTGAGTAATCTGGATGGTCTAAGTGGTCTGGGTGGCCTGGGTCGTGCGGGTGCTGTGTCTGGTATAGGTTTGCTCCCTGGTATAGGTGGTCTGCCTGGTATAGGTGCTCGGCCTGAGATAGGTGGTCTTAAAAATGCAACGTGCGGTGCATCTTCACAGACGATGTCACTTACATTTCAATGAAAAAGACGAAAACAGTTATTTTATTATATACTTTTCTTCTACTCTTCATTTCTTTGTAATTTCATTTCTACTTAAATAAAGAGAATAAAAGGCACTGCAAAAGCTTGCCAGCGCAGCCTCGTTGGGGCTAAAAAGATGTAACTTACGTATGCTCGTACCAAAGACACCTCATAATCTTCAAGAGGCTTTGGTCTCATCTTGTTTCTGAAAGAAAACGTATTTGTTGGTATTGAAAACCCTTCACAGATGTTATAGAAGATTTGCGACGGAACGGAATTCAATTGCAGTTTATAAGAGCTGTTAAGAAATGTGGCAACTAGCATTTTAAGGATGTGGATGTGACTGCCCTTTCTTTATTAAACATTCATATCCCTATACTTTCAGGTGATTTGATTAAAAAATCGATGTATAGTATGAGAGTAGACTGATGTTATTCAAGTTATGATGTCTATAAATTACGTTGTATTTCTGATTTTACATATATTTTATGGAAAGCTTATAAACAGCAAGAACAGCACAAAAATATTAATATAGTTTACTATATATTAGCTAAAGCTTGGATCTCAACATCCGTTAATTCTCTTGAATAAATTCTCATTTCATCAATTTTGCCTCGAAATTGTTTCGGAATGATTCGAGTTTCTGCATTTGTACACCATGCTGCTGGAGTACATGTACCAACAGATATGATGTTCCATGTTCCACTGCCTGCATGACTATGAGTTGAACTGGTTGAGTTAGCCATTGTTCCATTAATAAAAAGACGAAGACCATTTGTAGTCGAAAAAGTTGCTACAACATGAGTCCATATATTCAATGGCACAATAAACGACGTCAAAGCTACGTTATAGAATATTGCACCACTCCATGTCTGCGTCATAAGATGGCTACTATTGTCGAAGCCGAGCATAGGTGACCACCAATTGTTGTTGACAGAAAGTAGCTGCAAATGTAAAAACTTTAGCATAAAAAAGCATTTTATTCTCTTTAAGAAAGATAGAGTACCTGAATGATAGTTCCATTGGTTGCAAAAGGATAGATCCAGATAGAAAATGAATACGAATAATTCGATTGGCCAAGAAAATAGAAACTTGTTGTTTGAAAAAAAGAATTGTTCGAGTTAATGAGAAGAGCTTGACTGACTCGCCCAGTGGCATTAAATTGCACATTTGTTCCAGTACTATTTGTTATGTTATTCGGACCTGAATCAAGAAATGAATTGTCAAATTTATAGTAAGCTACAAGTGTTGCTTCATCAAGAATTTCACTTGTATTTTTAACACGAGATACAAAAATCATCTCATCCATATAAGCAAATGGATTAGGATACATATAAGTATAAGGTGATGCACCTATCCACATTTGACTTGCATTACTTTGAAGAATACCTGCAGATGAAAATATTCCATCGAGTCGTCCGTTCAGATAGACACTCTGTGTAAGTGCAACTCGATCGTAAACATATGCTACATGATACCAAATATTGTTTGTAAGAGAAGAATTTCCTGTAAAATTATTGATATAAAAAGAAAAGAGAAGTTTCCCAGATCGTACTGTCATATATAGACATTTATTATTAGTCATGCTCTCACAATGAGTAAATATTCCAAATTCCGATGAGTTTAATGGAACATTTGATAATAATTGAATCCATGTCGAGATAGTAAAACTTGTACCAATAAGCTTAAGTGAATAAGGAATGAGAGCATAACTTTTGTTAGCAAAGCAGACAGCCATTCCATCCCCACGGTAGCTAGGTGATACATATTGGATAGTGCCGTTCGTTGATATTCCATTGTAAACACCGAACGTATCATTAAGATTACCATTAAATGACCATTGAATAATTGGTGGTGGATTGTTATTATCTAATAACAAAAAAAATGACTAAAATATTCTGTCCATGAGTGAAACTCAATGAATTGAACGAATGTTTAAGAGAATAAAAGTCTATACACTTTCCTATTTTCAGTTACCTGGAGTAGTTCTGTTTATGAAACTTATAATGGTAGCATTTATCGTAATTGCTGCCGATTGCAACTGCGTCTGGTTAAATTTTGTAGAGATAAGTGAACAGGTTTGATTGATTCCAATATAAAGAGCTGTGACACAATTCTCGTTGGTGAAACATTGACATACACATTCATTTTGCGAACCGACAAAGAATTGATCCATAAGTTGATAATTTATACCAACAATAATTTGAGCGTTTTTGTATTTAACAATAGATTCTGTCGATATGAATAATTGATGTGCAAATAAAAAAACTATTACTCGAATTAACATTATAAAAATGCTTGTATTCTAGAAAATACTTTCTCTAAATATTATTTTCTTTTACTAATGGAATCGGTGACGTCTTGAAACAATATATAGCTCAATTATTTATATAACTGTTTTACAAGTAGTAAATGACATAAAATACAACATTAAAACTTGAGTGTTAACACTATTCTACTTCCAAACACTTAAAGAGACCCAGTTTTCTTTTCGGAGCTAAAAAGTGTTTTCTTTTATCTTCATCTTTGAAGATGTGCTCTAAAAATAATATCTATGTCAAACGGTGTACTTTTTAAAAAACTTAAATTGCTAAAGTATACAACTCGAAAAAAGTGTGTATTTCAAGGGAGATCTGTTGTTTGTTATTTTATAAAACTTTCGTTCTACTTATCATCTTATAAATAATGCGAAAAATACGATCAGTAACTTTTCTAGAAATTTACTGATGTTATATTATACAGAATTTGATAGCAGCCGTTTTTTTGAAAATTAATTATTATCTAGTCAGTAAAAAAATGAACTACATCATAGTTGGTAGTGTCTTCAGTAAAGACTCTGAAAAAGTGATACTCACAAGTATTTAAACACTTGTGTTATAAGTAACAATTGTAATATATGGCCAGATATATACGTCCATATTCAAAACAAAGATGTGCTTACTATTCCCGATTACAAATTTTAAACGTAAGGGTAACATCATTGCTCAATCAGTACATATAAATTATATTTCCGTGTGTAACAGATTCAAGAATAATGACGTTCATAGTAGAAACAGCATTAAAGAAGAAATGAGAAGAAAAAACAGAACTTGATCAAATGCACCAACAACATCGATGAATATGATTTTTCAGGACAAACGTGCAAAGATGGTATTAATATCATATTACTCTCTAAATTCTTGGTGATTTATCATAAAGAATAACGTCTATTTTTAAATTTATTTTCTTTTTAAAGTATTGTCCTACTTTCCTTTCACACACACACACCATGACGATACTTAGAAGAATTTTTTTACATATAAAATCAAAATCATAATGACAACACTTACAAAACCGATTAATAAACTTTTAAACAGAAATGGATTGTTTATAGCAAAAGCAACTATTCTCATAATTATTTTATTAAGTTGAAATTTCAGGCCTGTTGCTACTGCAGAAGCCATATTCCGATGACTGATTTTAATTGCATCAGTACTACGTTGTACATGATCACGATCAAACTCATCAATTGAGCGAGTAATTAGATAATTATCTTGTTTTTCATGATGTTTAATTAATAATTGAATGAATTCTACAGCATCCATAATGGCCATATTTGCACCATTACCTGATGTTGGATTCATTGGATGAAGTGCGTCACCAATGAAAATGATATGTTTTTTACTTGGATTCTTGTGTGGAAATTTATCGTGACTGTTAAGAATAAGTATACGTTCTCGATCACATTTTCGAACGAAAGAACGAAATTCATTGCTTAAACATCCATTAGTACGAGTTAAAACTTCATTAACAAATTCGTCTTGTTCATCTTTTGTCATTACACTTCCTTTATATGGTGGAGGTCT